ATATTGTTTTCTGCTTTGTCAAAGATTAGTTGACCATATGTTTGTGGGTCCATTTCTGGGTTCTCTATTCCGTTCCATTGATCTGAGTGTCTGTTCTTGTGCCAGTACCATACTGTCCAGATGATTACAGCTTTGTAATATAGGTTGAAGTCCGGGAATGTGATGCCTCCTGCTTTGGTTTTCTTTTTCAAGGTTGCTTTGGCTATTCGGGATCTTTTCTGGTTCCATACAAATCTTAGGATTGTTTGTTCTAGCTCTGTGAAGAATGATGGTGTTATTTGGTAGGTATTGCATTGAGTATGTAGATTGCTTTGGGTAATATTGACATTTTAACAATATTCTTCCTTTCTAGGAGCATGGAATCTTTTCCCAGTTTTTTGTGTCTTCTTCAATTTCTTTCATAAGCTTTCTATAGTTTTCAGTATATATAGATTTTTCACCTCTTTGGTTAGATTTATTCCTAGGTATTTTATGGGTTTTGGTGTAATTGTAAATGGGACCAATTCCTTGATTTCTCTTTCTGTTGCTTCATTCTTGGTGTATAGGAATGCAACTGATTTCTATGCATTGATTTTATATCCTGTGACTGCTGAATTCATTGATCAGTTCTAGCAGTTTTTTGATGGAATCTTTGGGGTTTTCCATGTAGAGTATCATGTCATCTGTGAAGAGTGAAAGTTTGAACTCCTCCTGCCTGATTTGGATGCTTTTTACTTCTTTGTGTTGTCTGATTGCTGAAGCTAAGACTTCCAATACTAGGTTAAAAAACAGTGGCGAGAGTGGACATCCCTGTCTTGTTCCTGATCTTAGCGGGGAAAGCTCTCAGTTTTTCCCCATTGAGGATGATATTAATGTTGGATCTTTCATATATGGCTTTATTATCTCAGGCTATGATCCTTCTATCCCTACTTTCTTGAGGGTTTTTATCAAGAAAGAATGCTGTATTTTGTCAAATGCTTTCTCTGCATCTTTTGAGAAGATCATGTGGCTCTTGTCCTTTCTTCTATTGATGTGATGAATCACATTTATTGTTTTGTGGATATTGAACCAGCCCTGCATCCCAGGTATAAATCCTACTTGGTGATGGTGAATAATTTTTTTAATGTATTGTTGGATCCAGTTGGCTAATATCTTGTTGAGGATTTTTGCATCCATGTTCATCAGGGAAATTGGTCTATGGTTCTCCTTTTTAGTGGGGTCTTTGTGTGGTTTTGGATCAAGGTAATGCTGGCTTCATAGAGTTTGGAAGTTTTCCTTTCATTTCTATTTTTTGGAACAGTTTCAAGACAACAGGTGTCAACTCCTCCTTATATGTTTGGTAGAATTCCCCTGGAAAGCCATCTGGCCCTGGACTCCTGTTTTTTGGAAGATTTTTTTATTACTTATTTGATTTTTTTACTGGTTATGGGTCTGTTCAAATTTTCTATTTTTTCCTGTTTCAGTTTTGGTAGTGTATATGTTTCTAGCAATTTACCCATTCCTTCCAGATTGCCCATTTTATTGGCATATAATTGCTCATAATAATGTCTTATTATTGTTTGTATTTCTGCTGCAAACACATCCTCTTCTTGACAGGCCACCTGCATTTGGTTCATTTTAACTCTTTCACTGTATTCCTATTGGGAGTATTCATATAACACAAATGCATTTTAGTAAAAATTAGCATTTCTTCTAGAAGCATGAATTATTGTCCCTTAAAAACACAACTCATGGGGCGCCTGGGTGGCGCAGTCGGTTAAGCGTCCGACTTCAGCCAGGTCACGATCTCGCGGTCCGGGAGTTCGAGCCCCGCGTCAGGCTCTGGGCTGATGGCTCGGAGCCTGGAGCCTGTTTCCGATTCTGTGTCTCCCTCTCTCTCTGCCCCTCCCCCGTTCATGCTCTGTCTCTCTCTGTCCCAAAAATAAATAAACGTTGAAAAAAAAAAAAATTAAAAAAAAAAAACACAACTCATTATAATATCATGCTACACAATAATTTTTACAGCTCTTAACATTTTCTTTCAAAAGGAATTTTGCAAAAATGTTGATTAGTTAGAGCATCTGACAAATATGCCCAGCCTCTTCGTTCAGCAAATCATTTCATCTGTGTTTCTTTCCTGTTTTCATATAGTTGTATATTTATTCATTCAAAATTATTTATTGAGAAGCAACTATGTATTAGGCACTGTGTTAAACAGTATTCACATTTGAATAGAATTTTGTGTAATGGAAGACAACAATGCTTTTAGATAGTATAATAGAAATAAGCTTCAGAGTATAGTAGAAACCCAAAATAGATCCATTACCAAAAAGGCAACTGGAGTTTTCATCTAAGTTATTTTATAGTTTCTAAAGTGCTGTCATGGGTACCATCTTATTTAATTAAGTTCCTGCATTGTGGGCAGGGCATGTTATAGGTAAAGAACCAAGACTTAGGAAGAGAGGCAGTCAGTTGAGAGGCATGACTGGATAAAGTGAAGTATGATTCAGTTAGTGTCTTTGCTCTACCTATATTTGGCTGTGGAACTTGGATAGTCATTTCATCTTTGATGGCTTTCTTCTCTTTTTTTTTTCTTTTATTTTTTTAATGTTTATTTTTGAGAGAGACAGAGCGCGAGCTGGGATGGGGCAGAGAGGGAGACATAGAATCTGAAGCAGGTTCCAGGCTCCAAGCTGACAGCACAGAACCTGATGCAAGGCTTGAATCCATGAGCCACAAGATCATGACCTCAGCCTAAGTCAAATGCTTAACCTGCTGAGCCACGCAGACGCCCTGATGGCCTATTTTCAAATCTATAATTGGAAAGAAGTGAGGAAACTACCTATATGCTATCTTAGATCTGGGGTTGTGATTTTATGCTGGGACAGCTCTCCTTAGTCTTTGGCTCATCCATTGTTGATTTCTTGGGAGTAAATATATCACATAATACTTTTTTTGGGTTTCTCCCTATCTTGCCTCCAGGAAGACCATCTTCTTTGAGCCATCTCCATGAATCTCTGGACTGCCCTTTGACTTTGCTGCTCATTAACATATTTATGCCTCCCTTGCGTCTAATGGTTACGTAATTCTACCTTGTCTCTGCTATTCTGTGCTCTTATCTCCATCGCTACCAGAAGCTAAATTTTGAGTGTCTCCTGTCAGCCCTAGTCTACAGAACACTATCACTCTGGATCTTCTCAGTAATGTCTGTGCACCCATCACCAGTATTTTCCTTATTACCTTGGTAAACAGAGTATTCTCTGGGTCCTTATGAGGAACATATTCAACTGGTAGGTCTTCTGAGCTTATATAATAGATCCTATCCGGCATGCTTTTCTTTGTCTTTAAATTTCTTCCTTTCTCATTGTGCCACAGTGATTCTGGCATCTCTGTTTCATTTAATATTCACCATTGCTTTTTCCTAGAGCTATCCAGCAATGTGTTAGGCCGTTTCCAAAGGCGCTTACAGGGCCTTACATCCTCTTTCAAAGGAGACTGCCCTTTATCCAAAAAGTCTCCCACATTCTGTTTTCTGTTCCCACACCCTCAGCAACCACCGACATATTCTCCTGGTTCTTGCTGGTTCAAGTTGCCCCCTTCCTATAGCACTCCGTAGCATATATTGAGTTACTAATTTCATATTAAAGGGTCATCTTAGAGGTCGTCCTGCCCTGGAGCAAGGAGATTGGGCTGTTTTATCCTGTATCATTCCCCACTGGCTGTAGGCCTTATCATGGAGGAGGGAAAGGGTTTAGACAGGAGGACACTGTGGAGCATAACCTCCCAGGAATCTTTGTGCCAGGTGATTCCTTTCAAGCATGGTCATTTCTCTAGAGAGAGGTGCAGCTATGAACCATTAGCAGTCAACACAGGAGCAAGTAGGAAGATTAGCCTTGTATATTAAGATATGGGGATCTGGGCGGGGCATCAACAGCATCTACTACAGGTGTCTCAAGTTCCTCCTGTGTGGTCGAGACTTTACCAACAAACATCATCTCATTCAGTGATATGCTAGAGATAACTTGAATCAGGTTACAAGACATTGTGCACATCCCCTTGCAAATACGAGTTCCATAACATCTGTTGTTGGTAGCTTGAAACTGACTGTAGATGGAGTATTTACATCACAGAAATCTGCAAATGCAACAGTTCAGGGCCCCATCCCCCAGAACTGGTTGTTCAAATTTTGACCAGCATACACCTGTATTTAATCCTTGCTACAACCTTATGAAGTTGGTTTCACCATTTAATAAATGAGAAAACTGAGGATCAGAGTGATTAATATACTTGCCATCTCTCATGTTGCTAATAAGCTATAGAATTCGAAATTAAATCTAGTTTTGTTTGATTCTAGAATGTGGATTTCTGTTATAGCACATTGCTTTCTTTTTTGAATCCTTTGAGAGAGTTGGCTAAATTTCTAGGTGATCGTCAATATACTTTGATCACAAACATTTTCTATTCCAAGTTAATGGCTTTATTGAAGATACTCCTCTAGTAAATAGCAGCCTCAGGACATTTCACTTTATCAGTTTGTTTCTGTTTTAAGCATTCTTCTCTTTACCTGTTTTCTTTCCTAACTCCTCTTTGTGGAATGTAAAATGCACCCAGAAAATATTTGTTAAATGAAAAAATGATGACCCTATAATATGAAATTAGTTTTTTCTATGGGATTATTTAATAGTTACATAAAGGGCAAGTTAGCATACCCTGCTCTAATTAAAATCATAGGTTAAACATTTTCCCAAAATGCCACAGTACTGTGGGAGAAATACTCTATGTTGAATCAGAGTTGATAAATGTTTGAAAAAGGTGTAGCTTACTCTCAAGCAACTAAGGGATTTTCAGTGCATTTTTAATTAAATAGAAGTGCAACACAGACTATACAATTGTTCAGTTCTACCCTATGTTGAGTTACATTATTATGTAAATTGAATAGTTAAGCTGAAAATTACTTTAGTCTTCACATAGACTTAAATCTTTTCAACTTTTGTGGTGTGGAATTGACTTCTTCTGTTGTGTTTTTATTTGTATTTCTGAAGCAAGGAGAAGTCAGACTGAAATGTTTGAAAGCTCTACAAAGTCTATATACCAATAGAGAATTATTCCCCAAGTTGGAGTTATTCACTAACCGATTCAAGGTAAGCATCAAAAATGCTTAGCTTATTTTGTTTTTTACTTTTTTTTTTTTTTTTTAAATTTTTTTTCAACGTTTTTATTTATTTTTGGGACAGAGAGAGACAGAGCATGAACGGGGGAGGGGCAGAGAGAGAGGGAGACACAGAATCGGAAACAGGCTCCAGGCTCCGAGCTATCAGCCCAGAGCCTGACGCGGGGCTCAAACTCACGGACCGCGAGATCGTGACCTGGCTGAAGTCGGACGCTTAACCGACTGCGCCACCCAGGCGCCCCTGTTTTTTACTTTTAACATGCTAGTTCTAGCTAGTTTAGCAAATAACCTTACCATAACAAGTGTTTAGCTCATATTCTTTTCTACATATTTTTTAAATAAGCCTGTATTAAATAGATTAATGAATCTCTGCTTTACAAAAGATATTACCAACATGAGTTCTTATGTATTGCCTTCAGCAGAAGGCTCTCCTGCTTTAAAATAATATTTTCTTTATATACAACTTTTTATAATTATATTAATTTTGTACATGAAGTGTTACTAGTCTCGGTGTTAGGGAATGCCAGTTGATGAGAAAGATTTTAGATTATGAACATTTATACTAACCACCTCCTTTATATGTGTAAGACTATGATAATATGGTTTTAAGAGTAAAGCTTTCTATTTAATCTACCATTAATCTTGCATATACTTCCCAAAGATATTCTCTTGGGTCAGTCCCAATTTATTTTCTGCTCATGTTTCATTTGATTTTTAACTTTTTTTTCAGGATCGCATTGTATCAATGACACTTGATAAGGAATATGATGTTGCTGTGGAAGCTATTCGATTGGTTACTCTGATACTTCAGTAAGTATATTTGTTAATAATTTAATCTTGATATTTTAATGTCTTTTTCCCAGCTTTATTGATGTACTTCACATACGTAACCCTAATATATATTGTTATCACATTAGATTCTACTTTTACATTTTAAGGAAATGTTTTCTGTTTTTCTCTCTTTTTGTTTTTTATTTTGACTTTGTTTGTTTCTTCAATGTAAAAGTTTTCTTTTGCAGTCCAGAGGAAATATCAGCAAAGTAAATACCTTTCTATTTTTAAAAAGAGAGCAAGAAAGAGAAGGTATCCAAAGGGATAGGTTTTTCAAATAGGCTTCTTTGGAATGGTATAGAAGTAGGGGAAGGGAAATAAGCCATTTAAATTGTGTCATTCGTATGATAGAGATTTTTTTAATAGCAGTAGTTTTTATCTATAGAGCTTTGACTAAAAACTGGGAAGAATGCATGTGAGAGAATGCATGTCTTAGCAAAATCATTACAAATCCTTCTCCCAGTTTGTTACATTGTTTCTATCATACACCATGTACCATCTGTACCATGTCTACTGTTTTGATCTTTTTTACCCCTTTATGCTCTAGTACCATATTCTTTATCATTGTAGCTTTATGATATATGTTATAAGCAAGACCTCCCCTTTTTGGTTGATTCCTTTTTCTTTGCCTTTCTTTTTAAAACCACTAGCTACCTGTGGATTATTTTTCTTCTGTATGATTTTTTTAAGTACATTTGTCTAATTCCTCAAAAACTTCGGCATTTTAAATATTAGAATTGCATTTGGGGTGCCTGGGTGGCTCGGTTGGTTAAGTATCTGACTTCGGCTCAGGTCATGACAATCTTGCGGTCCATGGATTCGAGCCCCACGTTAGGCTCTGTGCTGATAGCTCAGAGCCTGGAACCTGCTTCAGGTTTTGTGTCTCCCTCTCTGCCCCTGCCCCACTCACACTCTGTCTCAAAAATGAATAAATGTTAAAAAAAATTTTTTTTTAATATTAGAACTGCATTTGTTACCGAACAATCTTTCATTCCTAACTGCTAACTCAGGAAGCCAAATGAGTAAACCTTAGTGTTCTGCTGCAGCCATACTTCTTCCCGAGGAATAATGAAGCAACTGGACAAATCGAAAGCATAGCTCCTGTCTAGATTTGCCAACACTGTTGCCAAACGAACTCAGAGAAACTCATTGTAAGAGAAGCCAGTACTCAAAGAGATGAGGGCTTGGAAAAGAGAAAGGGAGAAGTTTATTCGGGGTGCTGGCAGCCGAGGGACATGGCAAGCTCAGGTCTTACCAACTGACTTCTCCATCAGCAAGATGGACACCTAGAGTTTTATAGGGAGAGGCTCTGGGGGGGTACGTACAAGAGAGCAGGCAAATAGCGCATCATCGTGGACAAGGATCAGTATGTGTTCAGCCCACCATCATGGACAGGGAAGGGATGTGTGGGGTGTGGTCTTCCCAGGCATTCTGTTACTATCAGGGCTTTTCTGGTCTGGCAGTAAGGATGTTCCAGTCATTGCAAAACACCTTTAGCAGTGGTGCCTCAAGAAGCTGTGATAGGAAATCATCACAATGGGTTTGGTTAGAACATGTTTGGTGAGAGTTAAGCTGTCTTGTCTGTTTTTGGTTTTAACTATTGAGGTCTGTGGTTGAGGAAAAGGGCTGGCTAACACATTGAATTTTATGATAGATTTAGGAGAAAATTCAGTTTTTTACAATTTTGTGTCATTTATGCATTAAAATGATGCATTTCTCTATTCAAATCTCATTAGATATTCTACATACGGTTTAATTTTTTCATAAAAGTATTTCTTAGGTCAATTCTGAAATATTTTATGGTTTTGTTGTTATATGATTAGTATTTAGTGTTAATGATATTTTCTACCTGATTATTGCTGAGACACAGAAATGTTTAATTTTTATGTTAGTCTTTTACGTGCAACCTGTTAGAACTCTCATGTATTCTGATGAATTGTCGATTCTTTAGAGTTACTATGTAGATGATTATATATCACCTGCAAACAATTTCAGTTTTGTCTCATTTCCTCCCCTTAAAACTTTGGCTTCATTCTCGTGCTAACTGCATTAGGCAGGACTTTGAGCACTGTAATGTACCACTGAGAGTGAATCTTTTTGTTCTTGTTCTAGGATGGCATCTAAAGTTCTTGTTGCTGTGATTTCTAAGATAGTTTTTTGATATATGATAGAAATCCCTTTGTATTATAAGTTTTCTGGGAGGTTCCTTTCATGTATTGATGAGACTGAATGAAATTAATAATTTGGTGGTAAATCACCCTGGCATTTCTAGAATAAATCATATTTGAACAGAATATATTTGGTTTTATTGTGCTTTGCTTGAATACAGTGTCATATTTAATATCTTGGGATTTTCACATCTGTGTTTATGTCTAAATTTGACAGAATTTTTTTGTCCTTTATCCAATTTTGAAATCTAGGTTTTATCCTCTTTGTAAAATTATCTTCAGTAATTTCTTGCCTTCCCTTTCTGAAACAAATGTTCTGTGACAGATTAATACTTCCTTGCAATTTTGAGAGTATACTCTTATCAAAGCCATGTTACTTTTGAATTTGAGGAAAAAAAGTCTTTGATTCCCATTTTTACTTCTTCATTGGTTATCTGTCTAAATTAACTTTTATTTCTTATTGTACTAATTTTGGCTTTTAGAAACATTTTTTATATATCAGTTTCATCACAGTTTTTAAATTTTACAATTGATATTTTTATTACTCTATAAAACTGTGCTATTTCTCTTTTTCATCTATTTTATTTGTATCCTCTTTTTGTTGATCAGTCATGTCTGTCTTACTATTTTTGTTTTTGAGAGACAGAGAACTTGAGCAGGGGAGGGGCAGAAGGAGAGAGAATCTTAAGCAGGTTCCATGCTCAGTACAGAGCCTAACGCAGAGCTCAATATCATGACCATTGGATCATGACCTTAGCCAAAATCAAGAGTCAGATGCTTAACTGCCTGAGTTCCCAGGCACCCCTATCTTACCTTCTTTTTAATGAACTAGCTTCTTTAAGTCATTTGTTTCATGTTTTCTAATAATTATACTTAAAGTAATAAATACGCTTTTAAGTACTCTTTTACTACTTTTCAAAAAATTTGGACCTAAAGTGTTTGTATATACATTTAGTGAAAAATATTTTGATTATTTTTATGATTACTGATTTAATTATGGATTATTCAGTGGTAGGTTTCTGTTCCTTCCAAATCAGATTGTCTTAAGTTGTCCTTTTTTATTTTATTGTATTATCTGAGAATGTGTTCTGAGTGGTTTGGTCATTTTTCTGTATTTTCTAAATATGTTTTAAAAACAACTAACTGCGTGTACAGTTATGTATTTATATTCATTACTTTGAATTTATTTAAATTACCTATATCTTTGAATTTTTTTCCTTTTCAAGTCTATTTTAAAATATTTGACACCCTAGTTATTGTTTCCTTGTAAATTTCACAAACTTACCAGTATCTTTCCCTCAAATAAAAAAATACTTGACATTCACCTGTCTGTTTTGTTGGAATTATCTGGAGTTTAAGATATGTATTGTTAAGGGTGTGTGTGTGTGTCCATCCATCTAATTTCAATACTTGCTCATTTAGACAAGAGTAAACTTCTCTTTGATATTTCTTCATCCTTTGTTTCTGTGGAAGAGTAATTATTTCGTAGACTTCTCCAAGATTATTTCTCCTGCTGGTTTATTTCTTGAAGAATGTTTCAAATCATCTGAGACCTTGTTGGCTAAAAAATCCTACTTTCTTCACACTTCAGAAAATGGTTTGGCTGGTTTCAAAAGTCTAGTTTTAAGGTTCTTTTCTCCATTTTCATTGGAGGAGATTTGGGTACAACCTTCTTTAAAAGGTACAGTTATGGCCCTCCAGCTCTATCAGATATCCTGATTCATTAGGTACATTGGTCCTTTTAGGGAGATTCCTCAGAGATATCTCCCCACTCTAGGTATTTGTGACTTCAATTTCCCGAGTAGATGGTACCTCCTCTGGCTATTTACTTTTGAGTCTCAGCCCCTGACTTTCATATTTCCTCTGTTGGAGTTGCTTGCCCTATAGGTAGTCTTGTTGGGCAAAGTCTTTTAAAACTATTCAGACTGGCTCCCTTTAAGTATTCCGTATCCAGCCTACAGGTAACACAGCCATTTATGAATGGTCCCCTTGTACCCCTTCTCATCTTAATTTACTTCCATGTGTTGCTCCAGTCAGCTTTTCACATTTACACTTTTTTAAGTTCTACACCTGGTACCATTTCCTTAAACCTCCTCACAATTGTAAGGGATGTTTATAAAATTTTTATAGTGGTTCTCTGAAACTTTGGCTCTAATTTCTCTGGGGGAGATTTCGGAGTTACACAATACTCTGACATTTTCTCTTGAAAGAAATACTCTCTATCCATTGTATTGCTCAATCCCCTGATTTCTATTTGTATATTATTTTTGTGAGTAATGAGCTGAGGATCACAAAACCAGCTTTCTAGTCTTTGACAGCGTTTGTATGAAATGATCTGGCCTTATTTCTCTTGGCTTATGGGATCTCTATCAAAATAACATGTAAAGTCACATGTAATCCTGTTATATCTCCATTAAATTCTTTTTCTATCTGTTAATTTTCCTTCTTTGGGTATAGATTATTTTCTTTTCACTTATAAATTTGGGTTCCTGAGTTATCTCATTAAATTTTGTTTCCTGTGAGTTTAACTTTCTCGTAAAGGTATTAGCTAATTTAGCTGATGTCATCATATAATTGGGGGAAGGAATAAAACTTAGGCCTTAGCCTTGTACCTCTCCTCATAATTTAAGGGTATGAGTTGGACATGGGCAAAACATTTCTGCTTCAAGACAGAAAACCTCTGGTTATAATTTGTAACTTCTCCTTGACAGTGTTAAAACTGTCTCCTTCAGTGGTAATCTCATGCCTCTCAGAGTATGGAAGGGAAATACAGGGACGTTTAGGTCATGGGCTAGCCAGTCTGCCTAAACATACTGTTAATTTTTCAGTGCCTCTTGGTTCCAACACAACCCTATTGTAACCCTCTCATGCTATATTTGGCTACTGTTTTTGCTTCACAGTGGAATTAGAACAGGCATTGATGAGAGGGGGAAAAATATACTTTAAAAAAAAAATGCTCTAACCTGTTTGCCATCCTTGATACACAGCCCTTTTTCATTCAGAACTACAGCCTCTTATACTGTGATGCAACTACCTTCTTTTGCTGCAAAGGTTACTCTGATTTTCTGGTTATTTGACAGTTCCTTCAACTTCCTCTTCTGAGGCATATCTAGGATTGAATTCTGAGGAATGAACTTATACCCCTACATCTTGTCAAGTACCTGTACAGCCTGAGAATTCTGTACTTTATTCATTGTTCATCTTTAATTGTATCAGACCTTTTTAAACATGTTAATAGTCAGGAAATGGATGTTCCTTTTTTGGAAAAAAAATTAAAAACACATTGCTGAAATGGCTCCTACTTTAAGAATACATGAATAGAAAGATGAGGAATTTGTGTAAGTGAAGGAATGGTTTTGACTACTGAATCCACTTTATATAGAAAGAAGACAAAGTGGTATTGTAAATATAGTGATAAAATATAATTTAAAATGGACATTTTTCTGGGACACCTGGCTGGTTCAGTCAGTGGATCATGTAACTCTTGATCTCGAGTTCGTTAGTTCAGGCCCCATATTGAACGTAGAGCTTATTACTTAAAAAGAAAGAGAGAGGGAGCAAGGAAGTAAGGAAAGAAAGACAATTCTGGAAAGAAGAGTTACCTACTATAATAATAATTTAACTGTGAAATGGACAGATATATTCCTAGTGCCTGTCAACAAAAATGTTAGGCACATTTAAAGAAATTTAGCTAATTTGGGCTGCTGTATCCCAAGGTGTACATACCATGGGTGTCTATGTGTGGAAAGAAACGTGGACATTTTATTTTCTTATTTTATCTGTATTTTCTGAATTTTACATAATGATGATTAGGTATATTTTATAATGAAAGAGAAATATACTTTCAAAGTAAGATTAAAAGAGACCAAAATAAAGTCAGTATGCCTTGAGCTTTTATGAACTTTACAAAATTTAAATAGAGATAGAACTGAAAGTAAACATTTATTTTGGCTCAGATGTTGCTTTCTGAATTTTTCAGTGGAAGTGAAGAAGCTCTTTCCAATGAAGACTGTGAAAATGTTTACCACTTGGTGTACTCAGCACATCGCCCTGTTGCTGTGGCAGCTGGAGAATTCCTTCACAAAAAGTGAGTTAATGATCTTTGAAAACAGTTTCTAATTTTGCATTTTGTTTTGTTGTTGTTTTAGAGTTAGTGGAAGAAAGTAATAGTGACTAAAAACAGTGCTACAAGTGGCCACTTCAAATTCTGGGGACTATAATTTTCTTACAACCTTATGTGCATATCACGAATCAGATCCGCATAAGACTGATGTCCCTTGTGACATACTCCTTTTCCCTGAAATCTAAAAGGATGGTTCTCAGCTAGAGGTGTGAGTGGAGATTGGGGAAGTGCATGAAGTTTATAAAAGCTCCACATGAAGTTTATAATTTATATTTCATTTCACCAGGGTTTTTTTTCCCCTCTCTTAAAATTCTTAGTTCTCATCACCTTCTCAACATTTGTAATCTAAAATCACCTTCAAAATGCCTTCCAACTTTTCATGTTTTGTTTTCACTCTTTCTATGGGGGTGAAGATTATTTTGACCAGTAATTTATAGTGATTCTGAAAGCTATACAGTTGCGGTTTAATTAAAAAGCAAAACTTTTATCTTATTACTGAAAAGGCTTGAGCTAATGAGATTTTATGAGTATAATTGTTCTTATGCAGTACATTTTGATGGTGGCTTACTGTATGTTCTATAATTTATTAGTAAATCATTCTTAAAGTATAAACATATTTGGGAGGGGGCTGTGTTTTACTTTGTTTTTGTTTTTTCGTTTGTAGATTTAACTTAGTGACTTTGATCATTGGCAGGTGAACCCCAAAAGTCTACTACATGTAGTAATTTGTGACTATGCTAAGCACAGATATAAATCATGCACCAGGCATCTGTTGTGCATGGGTGATTAACTTTCATAATGAGCAGGCCTAGCCCCCCATTCAGCATCTGCATCTCAGTGCTGCAGCAACAAACTGTTGTGTACTCACTGGTACCTCTCAAAGTGGGAAAAGTTATTTCTATGTGAAAAATCTTTCTTTAAGACAGAAGTTGGCTACTAGTACATGCTGGTAATGAAAGTAAGGAAGAATGTCCAGATTTTTCAAGCATGACTTTTTTTAAAGTAATATATTGAATTTGCCACTGACTGTGACATCTATGGCTAATAGAACCATTCTCTTTCCATATTTATCTTGAGGTGTTGTCTGTCACAAATATCAAGGGTGTACTATAGTCTTAACTTTTCTTCCTTTTCCAGGACTGTTATATTCTCATTAGCGTCTGTTCTCTACTTTACTTTTCAAAAAGCTTTGTGTTTTTAGAATTTATTGCTATTATAGTTTCTGTGAAAAAATAGATTATAGAGGTTGGTTGGTTCTCTACAGAATAGAGGCCATAAACTGGCAGCACTTGTGTCAGAAAGACCCTTTGATATATCTTATTTTATCTACATTGTATTTTGCTAAGTTTGAAATACTTGCTAAAAAGTTTAAAATTGGAATGTTCTACATTAAAAGCCACAAGTGTAATAAGCCTTTGTTATTTCTTATTTCTTTGTGAAAATGAAGCCAATTCCTATTCAAATGGAAGGTTCACTCAATAAGCTTGTTCTATGCCCTTGCCCTTGAGATACAGTTTGAGAACTTTTGATTCTTAATGATGTCTTTGAGCATTCTCCCATCATTTAATATTGTGATCTTTAAAATCTTAACAAGTAAGCTGTAGAATAGCCCCAGGAGTTCTATGATTAAGTTTAGAAGAAAATATGCATGCATGCACATACACATTTAGTCTGTTTAGCAGCTTAGTTTATAAGCTTATACACAAGGTTAACCATACATCCATAAATTAGTAAAACATATCTGAAATGAGTACTTTAATGTCATCAAAAGTCTATAATTTAGTTTTAGAAAAATTAGGTTAATTCCTCAGTACCTGATATAATTATCTAATTTTGTACATTTTAGTTATAAAGGACCCTCATTTTTTTCCCATTTATTCTTTCCTCTGAAAGCCACCCAAGCAAACAGAACTTTCTCTTAAACCAGTCTGATAGCTATGCTGATGTAGCTTCAAAGTAATGCTCTAATCTTTTCCCCCTGCCATATAGCTTCCCCTTCCCTTCTCCCCCAAAACTCAATTTCTCTGTACTCATTTTCTGCTTGAGATTGGTTTATTTTTATGTTATTCTGTACTCATTTTCTGCTTGAGATTGGTTTATTTTTATGTTATATGAAATTATTCTCTTTATTCAGTTATTTAGCCTCTCATCTGAAAGGCCCACTGTAATTTCCATAATTAAACCATCATATACTATATCACTATTTCTACTGTTTTGTTTTTCCTTATAACACCTGAGATAGCATATATTTACCTACTATTTATTTCTATCCATTAGAGTGAGAGCTCAGTGAGAATAGGAAGTTTGTCTTTGTTCACTGTTATATCCCATTTAGCTAGAGCAATGCCTGGGAATAAGGCACCTATAGCAGTCCTTAAGGTTTTTTTTAGAATAAATCTTATTAGCCAATGAAAAATTTCAAGTCATATCTTCATCATATTTTAGAAGTTTTGTCACTAAGTGATATTTTTTAAAATTTCCAGTTTATGTCATTTTATTTTGTAGTTAGTACTGTTTTTAGGTAATGAGCTGAAAAGAATGCTAGAAACAATTGTTACAAGTGTGAATTTTTATAATTGTTGATAGAACATTTGGTTAAATTCTTTAATAACTTGACTCTGAAATTAATATTTAAGAAAATAGGACTATTTAAAATTATATATTCTAGTATCATATAGGATAAAACAGTTTATATTTTTCATAAATACTTGAATACTGGTAAGTTAAAAAGCTTCCTTTTACAGTGTATATATGATTGAATTGTACAAAATTCTTTAGATCTAACCATTTTTTAGCCTATAAAAATATCAGTTACATGGTTTGAAATAAATCAGTAACCTGATCTCTGATAGTTTGTTTTTTTAACACTGAAATAAATTTGCACAGTGAAGGAAAAGACTAAAATGCATATCTATGCAGGTTTGTAACACTCTTGTTTTGTTACTTATTTCTAGGCTGTTTAGCAGACATGATCCACAAGCAGAAGAAGCATTAGCAAAGAGGAGGGGAAGGAATAGTCCAAATGGGAACCTCATTAGAATGCTGGTTCTTTTCTTTCTTGAAAGTGAGGTAAATTTTAACATAGCTCTTTGTTTTATTTTTGTATTAGATTAAATTTTAAATAAAATTGTCATTTAATTCATTGCAATTAATTGCTATTTTTCAATCCTATGAAAATAAGCCTGTTTCTTACAGAATTGCCTGCATGGATTTCCTGATTATAGAATCTCTATTCTGCCTTTTGTAGGAGTACATATGTAGGTGTGGGTCAACACTGAATAGAGGCTAACAGTTTTTAAACTTTTATAATATAGTACTGCATACCTGTTTGTTGTTCCTCTTTGTTTTTCTTGAATTTCTGCCTGTAGCTTTTAAATTATATAAAGAGCCTGTGAAAATTGTCAGGTTGTAAATTAGTTCTAACTTGTTTGAAAATTACATTTTTTAAAGACAAATAAAAATATGAATTTAAATGTTTTAATTGAAAGATTATAATCTCCATTAGCAGTATTTCCATGTGACATTTTGATGTCAGTTATCCTTAAATAATTTTGTAATTAACATTCATAATGTAGTGTCAATCAGAATCTGCTTCCACAAGTGAACTTTGGTTTGCCCACTAAAATGCTCTTTGGTATTAGAACTATATTTCCTACTGCTAGTATGACACTGAGGGAATGGTAAACTAAACCTAAAGAGAGTCCCTGAATGAATAAACTACTTGTCTTAGAAATGAGTGGGAACAGAATTAAAATGGAGAAAATCTAGAAATCTTGGACCCTGAATTTTACTTGGAAAAATATTTTTGGTTTGTGTCGAATGTCCAGGAAGGTAAGATACTTCAAAGATTCTTATTCAAATTTGAAAGTACTGAAGAAACTGTAGGAATGAGAAATAGACAAACAGGCAGCTTATATGAAAATTGAGATCAGAGAGAATTAGGAACTGTGTCAATGGAATGAGTGGAGTTAGGGCAAAACAGGGCAGAAGAGTTACTGATATTTTTTAAGCAAATTGGAATGAACAGAAAATGAATAAAGAAACAAAACGTCTGGAGAGTTACATTCGAGTAAAGGATGTTTTTGGAACAGTGTTTTAAATACATATAGAAATTACATGGGGATCTTGTTAAATAGCATACCAGTTCTATTCAGTAGCTTTGGGATGTGGTGTAGCATATTCTAAATATTTTTAGATGCATATTTATGTTGTTTATGCCTCTGGTCCAGAGACTGACTACACTTTATGTTGTAAGGGTTTAAAACATTTTCTTAACAAAGCAAGTGTAGATATAGAATGGTGTAAAATACAAAATACTTGTAAGGTTTAAGATAAAACACTAAATATTCAGTAAATATCACCCTTGTGATAGGCCATTTCAAGTTATACCTTTAGCCATATAGGTTTTAAAGGAGCATGATTAAAAGTATTACAGAAAATCAGGTTCTGTATGAAAATTTGACTTTAGTAACAACAATAGTTTCAAAAATTGATAGGGATGAGATATGCAAATGATATTTTTTTAATGTTTATTTATTTATAGGTTGGGGAGAGAGAGAATCTCAAGCAGGCTCTGCATTGTCAATGCAGAGCCCGACTCAGGGCTCAGTCTTAGGAATCATGAGATCATGACCTGAGCCAAAATCAGGAGTTGAACGCTTAACCAACTGAGCCACACAGGCACCCCTATGCAAATACTATTTAAACTATTTGTTGAAAAGTTTAAGGAATATATGATAATTTGGACTAACTGATCTTGATTATTAATTGAAGGAAAAATTTTCAAATCTCTGAAAGCTCAAGGACTTTTTGATATTTTAAAAGGTATAAGTACTTAGTTTTATAGTTTCATTTTTTTAATTAAAGCAGTAATTTATAATGTATATTGCTGTTCTATTTTCAGGTGGCATTACTGTATTCCTATGTTTGCCGCTGTTTACTGAAATGTTATAAGAAGATTAAAATATATTTCCCACTCCTCTATGGCATTCTTTTCAGTTGCAGAACGACTGCAAATCATATTTATTTTTTAGTTGGTTCATAATCATAATATGCTCTTTATGCCCTCCTCTGTTTCATAAGAAACCTTGTTTGTTAAAATCTTCCTTCTTGCCCTATAAAACTAGTGTACACCTGGAGCCGGATGCTTGTTAAAGCCATACTCTTAGGGTGGGATTCTGATGGTGTCCTACTCTGAATTATTCTTTGTTTTACTACAACACATTAATTAGTAATATTTTAGTAATAGACTTATATAAAGTGGAGTTGCAAGAGACCCTAGAAGTCATAACATAGAATGAATCCAACTTAGGGGCACCTGGGTGGCTCAGTCAGTTAGCGTCCAACTTTGTTTCAGGTCATGATCTCACAGTTCAGTTCATGAGTTCAAGCCCCGCATTGGGCACTCTGCTGTCAGTGCAGAGCCTGCTTCAGATCCTTTGTCCCCCTCTCTCTCTGCCCTTCGACCCCCACTTAAAAATAAATAAACATTTAAAAAATTTTAAAAAAGAATGAGTCTAACTTATAGATGAGTTAACTAGTCAATTAACTAGGATTAACTGGAAGGATTATCCTATTGCTTTCCTTTTTTTTTTTACTGGATGACAAGAGTGACATTTTAGTAATAGAATTCTAAAATACTGAATTAAAAGAAGTTTATAGTCCATGGAGTAGCTTCCATGAATTACAGGTGAAATAATGGAGATTAAGAGATAGGTCTAAACTAGTTGTTAATTTTCTTTTCTTTTTGTATCAGAAAGTAACATTTTAAAGCCAATACAACCTTTATAGCATTCAGTGATTTCAATGATAAAATACCTTGTGTATTTTAGACGTATGACAATCAGTACTTGAATGTGGTAAGTCCAGGTTCCTAATGTGACCATAGAACTTACTATAGAAACTGAGGCTTTTCAGAGTGACAAAAATGTTATTAATAATTATTCCACAGCAACTAGCATAGCCTAAGACATTGCTAGATAATATACAGAAGTATGGTCACCCTCCTTCTAAGCATATGAAATGATGAAGTTAATTATATCATTCTGTCATTATATCATTCTGTAATTATATCATTCTGTCATTTAAGACAGAAAATTAACAGATTTATTGACATATCCAAGAAATCTCTACAGAGTGATCATGAATGATAGTATATGAATGATAACTTTTTTTTTATGTATTCAAGATACAACAATAACTGGCTCTATTTCAGCAGAGAATAAAACCCCATATAAGAGTATTTAGAATTTTAAGCTTAGTAACTTGTGATAATTATTTGCACTGTGAATGATTTTTCATAAAAAGAATCAAAATAAGGTTCCATTATACAGTGAACTCCTTATTGTATTTAACTACTTGGCAGAAAAGTCAGCAGGCAGAGAAAATTTCAGTTAAAATATTATGAGTAATTTTGAAGCCAATTAAAGATGAATCAGAATGTACCCAGAAAATTATAATTACTCACCAGGGAAATGAGATTAATTTGTCTTACATATAGGTTTAAAGGAGAACCTATGAAATAAATTACGCTCAGATATAGAAGAGTAAAATCCACCTTGATATAGATATAATTTTATATATAATCTTAATTTATATGTTACATATAATTTATAAATAAATTTAAATGTAATTTTAATTATTTTGATACACAGTGACTCTTTATAGAGTTACTGTTTTTTAAATCTAATTCCTGAAGAATGCTTCCTGAAGTATGCTTCCAGATACTTGATTTTCATGCTGTTTTTATAAAATTATGATACCAGAAACTATTTTTAGAAAATTTATTTTTGTTTCATTGTTAGTGCTCCACATGCTTTTTATTCCCAGGATTTTTTATAGCCACTGAGAACGCTTCAAGGCCTTCCTTTCAATAGCTTTATCTTTCACTACCAATAGATCCTTGGTATAAAGTGTCTGAAAGATGATTACAAGCTTTTACTGGCCATGTTAGAATTTTTTTTTATCAGACATGGACTTACGTGGTATTCTTGAGGAGATTTGAAACTAGCAAGTTATGTGGTCTTCACAGATGCCCCAAGATAGAGAGACTGTATCATAAACATTATGTCAAACTAATTCCTGACTGATCATGTTATGCTAATTATTGTTGCTAATATTGGTGAATTTGAAACTCATAATCAGAAAATGGGCCAACACATTGTCATGTCCTTCTAGTATACACATTCAGTTTGCATGAAGTGGTTACTGGTGTTAACAGAAGGGTTCTACTAAGCCACCATCTTAACTAATCTAAAAGATAAGGAAGTTGTCAAAGAAGTTAGCAACTACATTGAGAGTATTGGCTATCACATACAAAAAAATTTCTGGAACAATGACAACATACATACCTGAGCTAAGTTTTAATATGCTGTGGTTCAAGGCATAGAGATTTCATTTTTTAAAATGCCAATGGTAATAGAATTATACTATTTAAAGCCTTGAATTGTGCCAACAACTCATTCACCTGAAAACTTCATGCTGAATATCTCAAGATGAAAGAACTGTGAGGAATTTGTGGAAGCTATAAAGTACGTTATTATGAATTCTATTAGAGTTAAATAACCCGGAGTCCCATACAAGGCACAAAAATTGAGGGAAATTTTTAGAGGTTTCCTGGTAGATATCTGAAATAAAGCAAAGAACAGAGCTAGTAAAAGGCTAGTAAAAGGATTAAGCTATAGGTAGTAATTAAGTGGCTGCCTTTAGTTGAGCTTATTCTTCACTATACAAGTATATTTGGGATGTGGACCTTGGTCTGAGAACAAAGGAGCTGATGTATGCCCCAGATAATTTATAGCCACCAGGAGGAACAGGGAACTTTGGCATTCAAAAGACATTGCATACCTACAGGTTAGAGGGAAAAGGCTGCCCGATTATAGATTCTAGATTCTCTCTTTTCACTTCCCCTGTACAACCAAGGAACCCAGGACCTTGCAATCAGACTTAAGAAAGGGATTCTAGCTACCAGTATTCTTGAATCTGGAGTATTAACATTACATGAACTAGCAACCAAGAATCACTGAAACTTGAGCAAGCATAAAACCCAACATACTGATGAAAATTTTTGATTAATTCCCCTGAATGTAAGAGGTTATTATGAAAGAGGAGGGGAGTTCATAGAACTTAAAAAACATGATTTCCAAAATTTAGAGGTGAAGCAGCTCATTAAATGGCCCACATGAACCTAGTCAAAGATTGACTATAGATTAAACCATGGGGTTTTTCCAGAAGATGGAACAAAAGAATTGTGAGAAGGAAATTAAAAGACAGGTAGTACAGATTAAGTTTTATCATCTAGTTAGGAGTTCTGTGGAGAGAATAGAAAAGAGGAACTAATCTAAGGACAGGCAGTTAAAATGTTTACTACCCATGTACCCTATATACAGATATTACTTGAGGATGTTTTCTAGAAAAATAAAAAACAAATACACTAAAAGGAAAATAAGAAATGTCAGTAACATTGGTGAGCAAATAAATCTGAAAAAAACTAAAACTAAACCTAAATATATGGTAGTGAAACTTAAGGCAAATACCTAAAATTATTCTTAAAATGTGGGAGTGTAATGTAAACTTAAATGAAGAGAAGTAAATAAATGTGTTAGCGACCTTAGTGATGGAAAATAGATGTTAGAAAATAAACTGAAAAAAGCACAGATAAGACAAGAAAATGTCATCAGTAGAGCACAGGGAATCAGTTGCCAGGAGAATTTCCAATATCAGTTATCTCAGTAAATGTATAATTGGATTAACATGCTTTATAAAAGGCAGATTGTCATTTAGGGTGAAATAAAATGAAAAGTATTGTTTTTAAAACATTAATCAACACAGGAAGTAAACAAGCTGAATAAAGGCTAGATATAATTAACAAATGCTTAAAGAAGGCTGGGGAGACAGTATCATATAAGATAAGCCAGAATTGAGAACCAAATATATTAAGAGAAAGGAGGTTTTATATGTATTGAAGGTCTAATCCACCAAAAATATAATTGTGAATCTTTTTTACACCTGTTTTACAGACATATGTAACGTGCACATAGGCGTAAAAGCAAGTTTATTGAACATGGGGGAGGAGTTAATTGTGATGAAGTAGACAATAAAATCTATTATTTTAACTATTTTGAAGTGTATAGTTCATTGGCATTAAGTACAGTTACATGACTGTGCAACTATCAATGCCATCCATCTCTAGAACTTTTTAAAAATCTTCCTGAACTGAAACTCTGTACCCTTAAATAATAACTCCATTCCAGCATAGGTTTTAATAGCTACAACTTGAAAATGATTGATTTTTCTGTTTTCTGCTGCTAATTTTCATTTTTGAAACCAGGTTGTACACCACTTGTACCTGTCATTGTTGGAATGATGTTACTGATGGCCTAGGAATAGTTTTCTAAGATATGTAAATTTGGAAAGTTTGAATGTATCTTGCTGTAAACTTTTGCCTGTGTTCTTTCTAAGCAGAGATAGTAATAAGTATTATCTACTCTGGAGAAAATCATTGGAAAACTGTGTGTGCATATGCATGTGCATATGTATGTGTGGCTTTCCTGAGGCATTTGAGGAATGGAAGATTTGAAATACGATGGAAATGAAGTATAGAATTAAGGAGTGCAAATGAAGCAGAACTTTAAATATATCATCAAAATGCACATAGAAGAATTAATGATAGAATTAGGAGTGAGGATGAAAACCAGCTCACTTCTCAGTTATGCCAGTATATCAGCAAACAACCAGTACATCTAGAAAGGACACTTTTATACATTTTGGGACCAGTATTCGTGATGTGAAAACTATTGTCTCTCACTAGTACAAGCACATAAAACTGAAGTAAGAATTGTATGAAATAGTACTTAAACTTTATATGTGCTATATACTCTTTTCTATTTTTTTTTTTTTTTAATATTGGTCTCAATGTATTAAATTAGTTTTAACAAGAAACTAGTTTGGTCTTCGCTGGATGTCATGAGCCTCAAGGGTGGAAGAACTTTTTTACAATAAGGGTGGAGAAGTTAGTTGTAGTAGCAGAAATCAGAACAACACCAACATCTCTGCTTACCTTCTCCGAGGAGCTTTTTGAGTAATATTCTTCATGGTGTAATAACTAACAAGTGGTAGAGAGTATACTGTGAAGTGTTTGATGAGGAACATGAGAGTGTTTGTTACTGTGGAAACATAGATTCCAAAGAAGATTGTCAAGAGTAACGAGCAGCAAAAAATTGGTTTGGGGTGAGATGGGAATGCATTGAGTTAAATGGAAATTACAATACGAAAGAAAAGAAATACAGTAGCTTAACATAACATTTTGACCCTTGACCAAGATGAGAGATGTAAAGTAAATAATTCTGACACCAAATTTTCAAATGGAATTCTGGGAGAAAGGAATATATGTCCCTTTTTAAAAAAAGCTAGTTCTAGAAACAAATCAAGAATAATGAAAAGTGACCTTGATCTAATTTATAATTTCAGGAATTCTGTTAACTAGTTATACTTTCAGTTTCCTCATCTATAAATGATGCCGTTGGACTAGGAGATAGATCCTTAACCTTACACTGGAAAAAACAAAAAATTATCAAGTCTTCATACTGCATCCCCATTATTTACAATGACATACAAATATGTTTATTGTTTTCTAAGTGGCTCTTGGAAATATTGTGACCAAGCCGTTTCAATTATGAAGAAAATGGTTTATCAAATTGAAATATTATTAGTAGTTTCTTCATTAAATGTTCTTCAGTCACAGTTGATTTGTTATTTTTAGTTACATGAACATGCAGCCTACTTGGTGGACAGTTTGTGGGAGAGCTCTCAAGAACTATTGAAAGACTGGGAATGTATGACAGAGTTGCTATTAGAAGAACCTGTTCAAGGAGAGGAAGGTATAGTATTTTGACAAGTTGATTTACATGGTGTTTGGGTTTTCATGAATAATCATACCATCCTATATAGGTCACTTCTTAAAATTAAATATATGTAAGCACACTGTGTGTCTTTTTGCAAAGAGAACAATTTGTTTCCTGTAACAAGTAAGAATGTCTCTATAGTTTATAAAGTTTATAACATCTATAGTTTTGTTTTTTTTTTTTAATTTTTTTTTTCAACATTTATTTATTTTTGGGACAGAGAGAGACAGAGCATGAATGGGGGAGGGGCAGAGAGAGAGGGAGACACAGAATCGGAAACAGGCTCCAGGCTCTGAGCCATCAGCCCAGAGCCCGACGCGGGGCTCGAACTCACAGACCGCGAGATCGTGACCTGGCTGAAGTCGGACGCCTAACCAACTGCGCCACCCAGGCGCCCCAACATCTATAGTTTTTAGAGTTTATAACATCGTTCTAGATTAAGACTGCTACCATGCTGCACAGTTTTTAAAAATCCATGTGTTGTGTAATACTCAAAAAAATTTTCTTTATGCTGATTTAAGACACAAAATACTGATGTACTTCATTTAAAAAAAAAAAAAATGTGCCCCTAGAATTTTACTGTATTTATGTGTGAATTTGGAAAAGGCTTTGACACATAAGGATTTAATTAGACCAGAGCCATCCCCTTTTGTTATATTTTCTTAAATATTAAAACCAGGAAATAAAAAGTCATTTACCTAGTTTCAAGAAATAGAAATAATTGTTATATGAAAATTTCTGAAGTATGTATCTTACTACATGTTACATAATTAATATGAACAGCAAAATGGATATGTATATTTAATAAAGTATTTATATTCTAATTCTAAAAGCTTATATGAATATGAGCTCCTTAAAACTAGAAATGCTTTTTCCTACAAATGGTTTGTTTTTCAAACTAACCCATGAAAATACTTTAAAGAACTGCTGTTTTACTTAATCCATACAACAGACCTGGAATATGGACACTTTGATATAAGTGACACTTGGGGTGAACCAAACATGGACTTCTGAATCAAAAGAAATACATTCAGATTTTTAACTCTTACCTTTTGTCACTAGAATTCTCATTTTTTTCTGATTGTTAGCTTCTTTTTCTTCATAATACAGAGGTTATTTTCTTTACATATCTTATGTGGGTTTTGTGAGGATTAAATAAGGCAGTATACTTTTGATTTCCTCTTCGGTTTCCCCTATTTTTTTTTTTTTTCTGTGTGGTTTAGCCCTCTGGGATATAAGAATAAAATGAGCCATCTCCTGCAATAGACTACCTGAACAGGTCACTAGGAAAGTGATCATCCCCTAGTGTTCTTTCTAAGCAGTGATGCTAATTGGCATTATCTACTCTGACTTCAACAAATTCAGTGAGAGAAACAACAGGTATACATCATATACAAATACACTCCAGTAAAGTGGCTCACATTGCCTCGTTTAAACAAATATTTGCCTCACACCTCATTCTTAATCTGTAACAAAAATCCTTCCCCAAATTTTCCCAGACCTTCTTTTAAGGTGCAGGTATTTATAGTACATTTGACCCTACTTTATAATTTACTTTATTCTCATGTGTTTTTCTCCCTGGATATCCTTGTTAAGAAGATGGCCCTATTTCAAAATTGATGGTCCAACTAGTTTCACTAGGTCAAACTCTCAACATTACTCCAAAATTTTCTCTTTATTTTACTTACACGGGTTCCTGCTACATTCACTGACTTTATGCATTCTGTTTCTAGTGAATCTTACCATTTTCTCTAATAAAATACAGTCCAGTCAACACTTGAGCAAAGTGCCTGCCATAGTATATAGTAGTACGTTCCATTCATTTTTTTACCCTTGACTGTTTCCATAGAATCAGCGTATTATCAGAGTGGGTTAGAACTTGTTGTTTTTTCTTTTTGTCATCCCATGCTCTATAAGATTATTTCCAAGGAGAAGAAGGGAGGCAGGGGAATATAAATTACGGAAAGAATAGACAAAGTGCTATGCTTTGGTACTTTTAACCTTTTACTCATTTAAATAAGATATGTCAGTCAGTAAATAGTAATTACTATGTCAGTTGTCAAGGTGTTTTGCATGGATTTATCTTGTTGAAATAACTACGTACTCTTAGATGTTTTGTGATTTAAGTTTAGTTAAGACATTGGGTTTAACTTCAGTCAAGAAGTTAGTTTGGTTTGGCGTGACATAGGTTTGTTTAGTTTGATTTTAGCTAGAAAAGTGAGTTATAAAATGGGGAAAAAGTTTTTAAGTGAACCAAAGTTTTAGGATATGAAGGCAAGGCTGAAGAGATTATGAATAACAAGCACAAAACTGTATCTATATCATGACTCCACTTTTTTCACACATTTGTTCACATGCATGCTGTACCACATACTAGCTCAGGCAATGGAATGGCATCCAAAGCAATCTTCTTTGCTAGTATTTAGCTGTATTTTCTGGTAACAAAATACCACTAGTAACCTTTATTTTTGAGAGTGATTAGAAATTAAGTTATGTTTTAGGTAGGTGGAGTATGACAGTGGATGAAAGTTCAGTTAACAGTTGGAGACAGAGGACTGAAATTTGGGGAAACAGACACATTGTTAAAGATTTACAATAGCAGTTTAAATCATCATATCCTAAAGAATGCCTCATGGTGTTTTTAAGGGTCAAGTTGTGGTGGTGATGGTGGTGGTGGTGTTTTGTTGATATGTATGTGTGTGTGTGTGTGTGTGTGTGTGTGTGTGTG